GAGAGGTCTGCCACGCCATGTGGTCTCCTCCGGGGCAGGCGGGAATTGAACTCATGCGGAAGTGGCTTTTTAGCTTCTCAGTGCAGTGCTTTAACCCGCTGCGCCACCAGGGAGGGCCCCAAATATTTATTTTTGACGCTATTGTAAATTGAATTGTTTTCTCTATTTCTCTTTAGGTATTTCATTGTTAGTGCATATACGTTTGACTAATTTTTTTATGTTGTCTTTGCATCCTGTAACTTGACTGAATTTATTAATCTATTTTTTGGTGGAGTCTAGCTAGCATTTTCTCTGTATAAAGTCTTATCATCTGCAAAAAAACCTTCTTCCTTTCTAGTTTGGATGTCTTTTAGTATGTCCCCATTCCTAGTTTCTCTTGCTGTGACTTCCAGTACTGTGTGGAATAGGACTGATAACAGAGCTTTCTTCCTAATTAAGAAGAAACGCTCTCAGCTTTTTGCCAATGAATATAACACAAGCTATGGGCTTGTCATACATTCTTTATTATGTTGAAGTGTGTTCCTTCTATACCCAGTTTATTGAGAGGTCCACATTGCATTTGAATTGTTTTGCCTTCTTTGTCTCCAATCTGTAATAATTCCTTTGTCTCTCGTGACCTTGGCATATTTGAAGACAATAGGTTAGTTATTTTTTAATTGTCTCTCAATTTTTGAATTGCTTACTGTCTTCTAGTGATTAAATTCACTGCCCACTGTTTCTGGCAAGTATACAGAAATGATATTGTGTACTTCTCTACCAATCCTGCTATTATAATAAAGTACAGGATGTCTATGTCTTAACTTTGCTTACTTGGCTAAGGTGGTATCTGCCAAACTTCTTGTTTTAAAGTTACTATTTTTTTGTAATTATTATCTTATGGAGATACACATGGGAACTATCTAAATGTCCTGTTTCTCATCATAACTTTATCCACTAATTTTAGCAATCATGATGCTTCTTGCTTGCATAATTATTACTAAAATGTATGCCAAATGTTGATTTTCTATTTCCATCTTTCTATGTTAATTAATATTCTATCTAAAGAAACAACTATTTTTTTCTCCATACTTAGTTTATTTTTTATACTAGTACGGACTCATAGGTATTTCTTGTATTCTATAATATTATTCTTATAATTTATTCATTGTTTAGATTGTCCTAGATTTGGTCATTGGGAACTCCTTCAAGTTGGTTTCTGATTTTTTTTCAATATGCCTCATCCTTTTTTTTTTTGTATTCTTCCCTTTTGGTACTACAAGATTTTCTAGGACGTGAACTGGCAAACTTTTCCTATAAAGGGCCACAATGTAACTTATTTTAGGCCTTTAGAGGCCATAGGTCTCTAATTTTACTTATTTTTTGGTCTGTCTTACAACTTTTTTAAAATGTGAAAAATACTTTTATTTATGCATTTAGCTTGCAGGTTGTGGTTTGACATAAACTAGAATCTAGGTTTATCTTGTACTGTCTTTACCTTAGCCCTTTGCCCTAGATTAACCGTTTCTTTGAGGGGAAGTGATTTTATTGGAGTGCACTATTTTGAAATCAAGATCTAGACACTAGGTTTACTCATTGCTATTGGGATGTCATTGCTATGGCCTTTTCATTGGACAAAACTAGGAAATAGATTATGTGCTCTCACAAAGACACACACATACAGCCATTCTGTCTAAAAAACAGTGAGCTCATACTGATACATCTAATTCTAATCCAGCATCACAAGTTAATTCTAGCCTTCTCCTTTCCTTATTTAACTTCTTTCTCTGACAGAAACTGGACTCTCCTTATACACAGCATAGTTACTTATTTTTCAGTCCTAGAATAAACATAAAATAATTTCAACACTGCTATCTTACTCTTTGTAAAAAACAATTTCACTAGTTACTCTACTATTCTTTTAGTTTTTTTGGCGTTTTTAAAATAGATTTATTTATTTGTACATATAAGAACTGGGGTACAGACCAGAGGTGTGGGGGTGAGAGGATTCACCAGAGACAGAGTGGGGAGCAGAACAGGCAGATCTATTGAAATACACTGCTGAGGGGAACAGTGGGTGAGACAGGAGAGGTCTGTTGTGCTATGTGGGTCAGCTCCCTGCCTGGGGATTGAACTCCTGCTGCAATGGCTGCAGATAGCCTCATTGTGCTGTGTTTTAACCCTTTGCACCACCAGGGAGAAACCCCCCCCCTCCAGTTTTTACTCTTATAAGATACAGTCAAAATTCTGAAAATTCTGTTTCCCAGAGTTACTTAGGTTCTTTTCTTCCCTACTCTCTTCAGGACAGTTATATATTTCATAAAATTATGTTAATTTATTATTGATTATATTACTATTTTGGCAATCTCTCCCCTCCCCACTTCCTGATTGGTCTGTCCATCCATCCATCCAAATAAAAAAGCCTAGATAACTCTTGATTTCACTTATATATGGAATATAGAGAAACTTAACAAAGGGTCAGTTAAAAACAAACCAATAATAAACTCTTACTATCTGACTGCAAAACTGAGTCAACCAGAAGTGGGTGGTGGGGTCAGAGTAGGGCAGGGAAGGGGCTTAATGGAACTTGGTTGAGGATTGTTGGAGCACTGGTGGCAGGTAGGGTGTAAAAGAACACATTTTTAGAGGTTTGAACCTATAATCCTGGAGCAGATACAAAGATGTAATCCCAAGTTTATTTCAATAAACATAGTTTGGTGAGAAAAGAAAAAAATGAAGTGCCCAGATAATTGAAATGTGATGCTATGCTAGGTTAGAAATTTAATGATTTCTTAAGGATAGAAAAGAAGCAGAAGTCATAAATTTTGCACTTAAAGCGATATAATCTAAGAGGTAAGAACACTTGTGAATCAGAAGACAGTAAATGTAAATCAAAGTAATAATGCCATGTGTACTTTAAAAAAAAGATTTATTTATTTATGTGTGGAAGAACTGGGGTGTAGGCCAGAGGCGTGGCAGGGTTGGGGGAAGATGAGATTATTCATCAGAGACAGAGTGGGGAACAGAACAAGCCTGAAATGCACTGCTAAAGGGGAGCAGCTGACAAGACAGGAGAGGTCTTCTGTGCCAGTTAGGTGAGCTCCCCGCCAAGCTTCTGTGGTGGGCCTTCAAGGTGGTAATGCTGAGACTTAACCGCAGGCCACCACGAGGCCTCGTGTGCTTTTTGAAAGACTTTATATAAATAAATAACAATCATGAAATGAAAATGGAATAAATGAAATAATCAGAGTAGCATGGAAATAGACAAAAAAGGCTTCTTGGACATAAGTGTTGATTTTTGTCTTATAGAAGAAAGGCATAAGATCATCCTAAAATTGCCATTTCTTTTTAAAGATGAAAATCTACAGCTGGTAAACCATGAAGCAAGTTCTGTGGCAGTGGATGTTGTTCCTCATGTTGATAATCCAACCTTTGAAGAAGATGAAGCTCCTAACCAAGAGGCCGCTGTTCGAGAAATTAAATCATAAATCTGTGTCAATAGAAAACTTGACCATTTAGTAATAACAGAACTGCCAATCAGGGCCTAGTTTACTATTAATGAACTGGATAAACTTAATAAAATAAGAATGACACTGAAAGTGCTGAGATGACTAATATTATTGCTATAGTTGAATGGCTGAAAATATTTAACCTATTAACTTTTTTCCACAAACTCATTATAATGTTTTTCATAGGCAAGTTTCCTCTCAATAGTGATAGCAACATTTTTAAACATTCAAAATTGTCTTCAAGTAGTCATATTTTTCATTTATAAGAATTTTCTTATAAAAACATGTTGCTTTTAAAATGTGGAGTAATTGTAATCACTTTATTTTATGATAATATCTTAGTTAAAAATACTACTATTTTAGCTTGGGCTCTATGTGTCAGGGTTTTTCTCCAGGTGCTTATATTGATCTGGAAATGTAATGTACAAAGCAATGCAAACTTAGACTAGTATTTCATGAAATGTCTATTTAAATGTCTACATTAAGTTGATAGAACAAGATTAAAGCAAACTATTCCTTTTAACTATTCTTTTAAAGTTAGGCTAAATGTACTTAATGTGAGTGTTGAGCATATTTTATCAGAGAATATTTACTGGAGTATATTGATTGGTATGTTAGTGACACCAATTTGACAGAAGATGATAGACAAAATTTTCTTATAAAAATTCTGTGTAATACATCTCAAACTTTTACTATTTTCAAAAGCAGAGTATGTAAATTACCATCCTATTTGAAAATGATAAGTTACACAAAGATTTGTAATTGATCTTTGTGTATGAATGAATCTACAGAAATGAATCTGTAGAAAATGTTTTCCAAGCAACTTTGAAAATTGAGTTTATATTTTACCTAAATGGGCTAAAATTACACTAGATAAATAAAAATGCTATCCATGTTGCTATAAATTTCATGAATGCATTTTCTTGGTGTTCAAAAAAGAATCAAGGGAGTGGGGAGAATTCCAGGTGCCTTAATATAAAGTTTGAAGCTTCATTCACCAAAGTTAAATAGAGCTAATTAAAAAATGCACTTTATTTGTATTCTGTGTGGCTTATCTTTGGTTTTAGAATTATGTTTCCAGTATAAATTCCAGCAGAATTTAGGCAAAAGCAGAATAGACATATTTTGTTTGCTGAGTGTAGAATGGATGAAACCATTGCATTCTTGTACAATGATTTGAAATGCTGTAAATATGTTCCGATTTGTATTGATTCTCTTTAAATATAAAATGTAAATAAAATATTCCAATAAAATGTTGTGTCTGGTGTTTAACTATCATGTACTAGCTTTTCACATGTGCTTGGTTTGGGATGAAAAATGGTTGGATGTAAATGGTCATTGATATCTTTGATCAATAAAACAAACATTAGCATGATAAGATTTACATGTTTCATTACACAGAGAGGAACTGCTGCCATTGTAATATCACTTACTGAACCTACCATGGATTATTTGAAATCTCAGTAAGACAGAGAATTAAGATGACTACCACTTACAAGGTTAGAAAAAGACATTGATGCAGGCCACCTTTATACTACCCAAGTTACAAGGCCATTTTTATTACTACAATTTTCTTTTCCTTCATTCCTCTCTTTGCCAGTGTGATTGCTAGGATGCTGTTAGTGAATTAAGTGCATCTTTCTTTTGTCAATCATTTTAAGAATAAACATATTTAGATCACGTAAGAATCATGATTATCAAGCCAGGGTACCTATGTTTTATGTGGCCATATACCAAGTGTATGTGTGTGTGGTGCCATACTTTTTAAAATATTTATTTTATTTCTTTATGCATACAAGAGCTGGGGTGTAGGCCAGAGGTGTGGGGCATGTGTGAGAGGATTCACCAGTGATAAAGTAGGGAGCAGAACAGGTGGATCTACTGAAAAATACTGCGGGAGCAGCAAGAGAGACAGAAGAGGTCTGCTGTGCTATGTGTTTGAGCTCCCTGGCCAGGAGTTGAATTCATACTACAGTGGCTGCTGATAGCTTCATAATGCTGAGGCTTAACTCTTGTGTTGCCAGGGAAGCCCAAATTTATAATTAAAAAAGTTTTTAACAGTTGCATTGAAGTATAATTTAAATGCCAAAAATTAACCCATTGTAAATGTACAGTTTGGTGATGTTGAGTAGATGTATATAAAGTTGTGCAACTCTCAGAGCAATCCAGTTTTAGAACATTCTATCACCCCATGTTTCCACATATCCATTTGCAGCCATTTTCTGTTCCCATTCTCAACCCAAGGCAACTACCAATGTGTTTTCTGTTTCTAAGCTTGCCTGTTGTAGACATTTCATATAAATGAAAGCATACAATATGTGGTCTTTTGTGACTCACTTCCATTTAGGATAATATTTTCAGAGTTCATCCATGTTGAAGTGTGTATCACTACTTCATTCCTTTTCACTGTTGAGTAATATTCCACATTTGGTTACCCATTCATCAATTAATGAACATTTGGATTGTTCCCAATTTGTGGCTATTGTGGATAATGCTGCTATATACATTTACATACTAGTATTTGTATAGATGTATATTTCTGATTTACTTCGGTATATAAAGAAGAGGAAGTCCATGTCACTTGTGAATTTTTTCTTGCTATTATCTTTTGACAATATACTTGAAAATTATTCTTTGTAACTGTCATATAATTATCAAAATATAAGCTCATTCCTTTAATTGGGTCAGTAGATATATTTGTATGTATAGAGTGTCTCCAACTTGAGTTTTTGAAAGTTCATTTATAAGTTTAGCAAAAATCAGATTGTATTACAAGAATATACAGTTACCAAGATCAGTAAAAGTGCACTTAAAGATGCAATTGGAATGTTAGGAACATTCCTTCTTCCTTCTACATCTTTTTTTTTTAAGTTACTAAATATTTTAATTAACTTATATAATTTTTATCAACAGGTGTTTTGAGAAGCAGACTTCTGGCACTACATTGATGTTCAAAGATAAATGCTCATTATCCTCTACCTTAGAGCTACTTCAGTGAGAAGTTTGAAAACTACTCACTAGTTCTTAATCTTTTTTTCTACAGAACTACATGGTCTCATGAGTCTGAGATACTTGTGTCCACTAATTTTGATGGCTAGAGAGTAGTACATATAAAGGTAAGCATGGATAGTGGTGGGAATTTCTTCTCCAACTTAGCCACTCCCTTAGAAAACTTTAATGGATATGACCTGATAAAAACTTTGTAAGAAAGCAATTCAAATATCTAAAATACATTAATGGCTTATTTTTTTAGAAGATACTTCTGTAGGTCTTAATGGAAACATGATTAATCACTATGCATTTGTTGAAGAGTTTGATTTTCAAAGTCTAATTTGCTTTCAACCAGTCCATCTAAAATTAATTTGCCTACAAATTACTTCAGAATCTTGTTAAAATGCACATTCTGATTTAGTAGGACTGGAATGGAGTCTGAGATTTGATTTTTCTAGCAGCCTCCTGGGTGATGCAGATGTTGCTGGTCCAGGGTTTGCATTTTGAGTAGCAAAGCTTTTAAATGGCTCTCTTCTAGCACCAAACTACCTGTTGTCAATTGTTTCTAGCCTGCCACAGACTGGAAAGCATATAAGCTTGTGAAATTTGTTTCAAATAAGCCAATGAAATCTTGAGTGGCAACCTCAGCTTTTGCATGGCGCAGGGTTTGGAGTTGCTATTTGGAATTTCTTTCTTTTTTTTTAAGGATTTATTTATGCATACAAGAACTGGGGTATAAGCCAGAGGTGCAGCAGGTGAGAGGATTCACCAGAGACACAGTGGGGAGCAGAACAGGCAGATCGACTGACATATGCAGCAGAGGGGAGCACAGGGCACAGGAGAGGTCTGCCATGCCATGTGGGTCAGCTCCCTGACCAGGAATAGAACTCCTGGCTGCAGATAGCTAGCTTCATAGTGCTGTGCTTTAACCTGTTGCACCACCAGGGAGGGTACACTATTTGGGATTTCTGAGTACCTTTCACATAGGCTTTTGAGGCTATGATTTTTAAAGGCTGAGTCAGCTGGAAGACAGGCCTCGGGAAAAAATGAGGTATTATTAACAAGTATGCAAATATTTTCTGGATAAATCAGAAAATACGAATGGAAGTAGACATAAGTTGGGAAGCTAGTATAATAGTATAGCAAGATAGTCATGTGAGGCTAACCTGAAATAACTAATAGGAGGAGAGAATGGACTTTTGAAAAAAATAAGTAGGGATGTATGTGTATGAGAGTGGAGGTGGTGAGAGAAGTTTAAATTCCAAGGGTTTTGATTGAGCATCATAGTAAACTGTAAGACCTACTCAGAGGAATAACTTTGGGAAATGAGGAAGTTGAACAAGTTTGACTTAACATATATATCTGAAATATCTATAAACCATATGCATAGACAGTATAGTCTCATGGGTTATGGTTAGAGAAATCTAAGTTCAAATCCCATTAGATTTATTTAGCTATGTGACCTCCGAGCTTCCTGTTTTTCATCTGTAAAATAAGGATTATAATAATGTGCAAGCATATTGTTGAGGATTAAATTATATGCACATATGTATATGTATATAGATAAAAAGACCTCCTGTATATACCAACAACGGTATTCAAGATAGTTTGTAATTCCAATCCTCCTTTCCTAAAAAGAATTTACATTAATGTACATCATTGAATTTTGCCTGTTTTTCTATGGCAAATTCAGGGCAAAAAAACCCCCACTTATTTACAAAGGCTTGAAATTGAAATGTAGTTAATGATTAAGCCAAAATCTTATATATATCACAGAGGTAATTTTATTTGAAAAATTTTTATATGATAAGCAAAATTTTTATTTAATTAAGTAGGAGCTCTCTAAATATCCTGCTCTGAGGAAAAATGAGTCTCATTCTAAAACAGGGAGCAGATGAGTATATCTAGATGGAGTTATGAAGTAAAGAGGCAGAGGAACAATAAGGTTCTGGACAGTCCTTGACAAACTAACCTGTAAAGTTATTGGGAAAGAATGTGGTTTGATGAGGAAGGAAATCAAGGGGGTGGGTGGCAAAAAAAGAAAGGACATCTCACATCTCTTACATCTCTTTACGTTTGCTGTATGTAGCACATGATCTTTCTCACCAGGAAGATAAGAAATTAACTTCCTGAGTGCACATCCATATTGAGATGGTTTTTTTTTTTTTTTTAAACTACACGTTGCAATTTGGGCTCTGGGAGAATTTTCTCACCCGAAAGCTATCTTAGGACTACTCACCATCATTTAGTAGAAGAGAATTAGAAATTCACCCTTTTCTCCTTGCATGTAGCACTCTCCTGCTTCCCTTGAGCTGACCCAAATCTTGTAGGGTTATTCTGGAGATGCTCCTTCAGGCAGTTCTTCGGCTCTTTGACTTGGCGCCAGGGTGTGCCCCACCCTTTTTTTTTTTTTTTAAGCGAAAAGGCTTGAGGCTTCGTTTACAGCTGTGTACATTGCCTCCCAACTCCTTCCTTCCTTCCTATACACCTGTTTTCTTTTTTAGTGCACTTGCGGACTTAGTTATCGTAACAATAACGTCTCTTTAACACTTCCTGATAGCGATGACATGCAAATCACTGATCTCATTCACCTTAGAGTTTGAACAGCTTGTATCATTACCAAGGTCAAAGGAAATGAGTGCTGCCCTGAAAGGGATTTTTTTTTCTTCAAGAGCTTAAAAATATTTCTGTTGCTGAGACAAGGTATTTTCCATGGCTGATAACAGTAGTTAAGTAAACTGGGGTAGAGGTGTCGAAAGAGGGTCGCACGGGATGAATAAAACTAGCTTTGGAGATTATATAGTCTTCCTGAACGGGCAGAAAAAGCTTAATATAAGGAAGATTTTGAATTTGACAGGAATGTTAACTTGCTCCACGTACTGTGTGACCTTGGGCAAGTCACTTGATCTTTCTTTGCTTTTAAAAATAAAATATGTGCAAAACGGGGGTAAGAACTACTTCGCAAGACTTTCGTAAGGAGTATGAGATAATGTACCTATGCCACCTTCGCACAATGAAAGAGCGTTATTTGCTTCTACTACTGCTTCCCAGAATGGGCCGTTCCAAATTACGGGAATTTGTTTTCCAAAATTCCGGGAACTTTGTTTTTCACAGCTGAACACCCTCGGCCTTAACTCCAAGAGAAGAAGTAACCCTTTTATGCCCGGAGCTCACTCGTTGGAACAAAAAACTGCCATAAACTTTAGCCCGGCAAAATACACCTCTTCGGTGGCGGGACCCGCTTTGAAAGCACCCCCCCGCCCATTCTCACCCCAGTGTTTTGTGGGAAGTGTAGTCCCGCCCTCCAGTTGCTGGCATACAGAGAAGCGGGTGGGAAACTACAACTCCCAGGAGGTGAAGAGCAGGACTATTTCCCAGGCGGGCGGTAGCGCGGTGGGAGGGAATTGGCAATCTTTCTGCCTACGTGGGAGAGAAGGGAGGGTTGGGGGAAGTGTGTTGAACCTGAACCAGAGCCGCTGCCGCCTGAAGATTTGGTGGGAGGAGAAGTGGAGAAGAAGAGACGCGTGGAGGGGGAGGTGAGGAGGGCATCTGGGTCGCTGCAGCGGCCAGCACAAAGTTCTTCGCGATGTGGCTGAAGCCTGAGGAAGTGCTCCTGAAAAATGCGCTGAAGCTGTGGCTGATGGAAAGGTCCAACGACTACTTCGTGCTGCAGAGGCGTCGGGGCTACCAGGAGGAAGGCGGAGGGGGGCTCACAGGTAAGCGCCGTCCGCCCCCACCCCCCGCGGCGCCGCGTTTCCCAGGCTCGGCGGCGCGAACAGTTACTCGTCGCCGCCCGCCGGCGATCCTCGCTCCGGGGCGGAGGGGCTGGGATTCGGCTCCCGCCACCACCTTTGCTTGGCCCTGGGCGAGAGCTGAGAATACCTTTCCGGAGCTGCAGTGCTCCTTGGGTGGGACTGGGCGAGAGGAGGGGCTCCTTTTCGAGCTTCGGAAGAATCCCAGGCCACCTACCAGCCCAGTTGCCTCCCTAGGGGGAGGGGGCCGATGACGAGGGCGCGACCTCCACGACGGGTCGCTTTTTGGTTGGCGACCTGGGTCAGTTTGCACTTGTGGACTTAACTTTTTTTACGAACCCCCTTGTGGGTGGTCACCCCCTCTGGGGAGGGAGAAAGTGTGCGTGTGCGCGCGTGTGCGCGTGTTTTGGAGGGGGTAGGTGAAGAGAAAGGGAGGAGCCCGGATCACATCCTGAGGGATAGACCTTGAAGGGGTTATTCGGAAGCGGGGGACGGGGGTGGGGGGAAGAGGGTTGAGCTTTGCTGCCCTCCCCCCACTTAGCGTCGTTGACGGCGTCTCCAAGTTTTCAATCCGTGCGGTTCAGTCGCCGAGGCTATTTCGACGTTTGTAAATTCTTTGCCCCCTCGAGGTTTGGCGTTGCCCTTAGGATTCTCTGCAAGCCAGTTAAACGGAAGTTTAACGTTGCCCACCTCATCCGTCGGATCTTCATTTCTTTCATTTCCAAATCCAGGACTGTGCCTTGATTGTTGAAAGCCTCCAGAGTATTTTCTTTTGAGAGCCCTCGCCTTGGACAGGAGCATCCAAACTTTTGGACCTTTGGGGAGACGAGCTCCTTTCCATGACATATTCTAGTTGGATGTTGGGGCCTTTGAAGTGGTGGTCTGGGCTTCAATTAGGCGGTGATATAACAAGGAGGAGGAAGAAATCCCAAAACCTGCATTTTGGTTCCATTCTCATCTTTATTTGTTTAGTGGCATTCGAAAATTATTCCATTTGTTCAACCATAAGCGCCTACTCTGTGCCACCTGGAATGCTAGGGTAAAAAAAAAACGATTAAAATTGTGCATCCTGTTTTTGAGGGGTTCGCAATCTGGATGGTGGCGAGAGGTTTGGGTTGGGGGAAGCAGCCAGTCAACCAGGAAAATTATAGCTATAATTATTAACCGGTCAGCCAAGCAAATTATAATTCAAACCAAGCAACGGAGGGTTTCAGCAAAGATTCCTGGAGGAGATGACATTGCTTTTCCTCTTCTGTAAAATGGTGTCTGTCTCACAGTTTGGAGGTTAAAATGAAAGATAACAGGTGCTAAATGAAAGCATGTTATGATGATAATGTGTGCTGTTATTTCTGTTTTCAAGCCACCCAGGATGGAGAGATTCCTGAGGTGCTATGGTACTTCTTTACCTTTTTTTTTTTTAAAGATTTTATATATTTATTCATTCATTCGTAGGCCATAGGTATTGAGAGAAGAACAGGTAGATCTACTGAAATACAGGAGAGGTCTGCCCGCGCCATGTGAGTCACCTCCCTGGTTGGAGATCAAATTCTTGCTGCAATGGCTGCTCATAGTTTCATAGTGCTGCGCTTTAACCCGTTGCGCCACCAGGGAGGACACAGTACCCTTTTTCTTAAAAAATCTTGCAAGACTGGGCCCACCCTGGTGGCGCAACGGGTTAAAGGGCAGCACTATGAAGCCTTCAGCAGCCACTGCAGCAAGAGTTCCATCAGCCAGGGAGGGGGGACCCACATGGTGCTGCAGACCTCTCCTGACCCGCCTGCTGTGCCTTCAACAGTGTACTTTGTCAATCTGCCTGTTCAGCTCTCCCTGGTGAATCCTCTCACCAGCCCTGCACCTCTGGCCTGTACCCCACTTATGTATGCATAAATAAATAAAATCTTTGAAAACAAAATCTTGCAAGACCTACCAGCTTCTAAAAAAGCCCTCTTGAAAACAAGGCAACAGAAATTGCCGCCTTAAACTTGACGTTTGTCATTTTCTGATTTTTACAAATTTGGCGAATGTTATTTTGCAGAGGAATCTATTTAATAGATGCAAATATTTTTCAGTTTAAAATTTAAGAATCAATGTTCATATATTTCCTCGGTGTATACAATTTACTCATGTGAGTGAGCTGAGAACAGTCAGAGTAGATGTAAAATAGCTCTTATTGGCCTGTATTACAGCATAATATTTTGGTCCTACAAATTTTACTTGACCAAGATTTTTTTTTCCGATTTTAAAAGAATTTTAAAAATAATATAAGTTTATTTTTACATCATTTTGTGCCTTTTTCCATCTCAGTTGTAATCCCTGTGGGCTTCCCATCACCAAATCACCCGTGTGCCATCACCGTAGTCCAGTGCACTTCCCTCCCACAGCTGTTTTTGATCCCATTCCCCACCCCACCCCCATAAAATGTCTGGTATATAGTTGTTCATTATTACTATTATTTTCTCCCTGGTCCTTTATACTCCTGCTATGAGTGAAATCATTTGATATTTTTCCTTTTCTTTCTGGCTTATTTTTCTAAGCATGATCCCTTCCAGCTCCATCCATGTTGCTGCAAAAGACATGTGTTTATTTTTTGTTGGTTGCTGAGTAATATTCTATTGTGTATATGTGTACCACATCTAGTCATCTACTTTTTTGACCAAAATTTTTGCCAGTAAATTTATCAAAGATGTGTATTTCAGTTTGTACATGTTTCTGAAAAATAGTAGTAACTAAAATTCTTTAGAACCATATCACTTTAATGTAGTATTAAATATTTTTTTTCCTTGCTGCAAATTTTCTTCTGTTTTTTCATTTGACTTGCTTTATCAAAGCATGGACCGTTGTCCCAGTTTCTTATCTGTCACGCATACTCCCATTTACTCTTCTCCATATATCTAGAAGATTAGTCTGAAAATACATACCAAGATTCCTACCACACAGGTGTGTTGTGAATAGCTGTAGCCCCATGTTTTTTCCTCAGTTTGTATCTCTGCATGATTGTCTTACCTGTGATACTGTCCATGTACTTGAAATTACCACACTATATTCTGTGTAAATGAAACAAAATGGGACCAACCCTATCACTTGATTTCTTTCTTAGAATTGTGTTGCCAAGAGCTTTGCTGAGCTTTACCACAGATCCACATTTGGACTAGTTCTCATAGGAATTTGTGTGCCCACATAAACTGGCTTTTGTCCATTTTGTTTGCTAAAACTAATGCAAATGCTACCTCTTCAAAGATTCCGTTATAGGTTTTGTTTAATGAAAAAGAGTTAATGACTATCTAGGAATGGTAGTAGTTGTACTTACTTTAAAATTTCATTTCTTTGCCATGTGAAAGTTGGAAATAGCCACTAGCAATGTAATGACTTTAGCTGTGGATTTGCTGTGGACTTGAAGTTAGTTTTTTCCTAATCATGGAACTGGAGCAACAGAGAAACTAGTATGGTTATAGCAGGACTTGGGTTTGGGAGTTAGAATTCTCAGTCCTTCTCTAAATTTCTAAACACCTGTAGTGGATAGCTGGTGGATGACTTACATTTGCTTAACTTTGTTAGTTAATTTTCCTGGTTCACAGTAGGGTGGACTATCTTGTGGAGATTTCTGTTTTTTTTTTTTTTAATAACAGTTTATTTTTACATAATTTTGTACATTTGGAGATTTCTGTTTTTACATAAGACTTTTAGAGATAAAGTGGTTGCCCTTCTTTTGGAGAAGTAATTGACTTTTCTGGATTTCTGCAGTTATCTTATAGTTTCCTTATTTCTCCCAGCTGATAAAATTAATGAATTTTCTGTGGCACCTAAATTTAGCACCTGGTTTTATGTAATTAAAATAATTTATGTATGTTTGGCTTATTAAGCATAAGTCAATTTCCTCAGCTTGGCAGATGAGCGCTAGTACATGAGTGGAATTATGGCCCTACATTCTATGAAGTGCTCTAGAATGTGGGATTTAGGAAGATCTGTCAACAAGGAAGCTTTAATTTACATAGTTTGTTGAGTACTTTACTCTTGAATTTTCCATATGTGAACAATGTAAGCATGCTCTTGAGTGTTGGATGTATAGTCTCCCTAACTAGGTCTTGTTTTGGTGTTGTAAACAAGATTAAGAAATTAAACTTATGAAAATGAAAGAGCTGGAGACATTCTGTTTCTTTATCTCCCTTCTTTCATTTTGGCAGTATTACTTTGAAATAAAATCACCCTAAAAACTAGAACATGATAATGTTTTAAATAAACTTTCCAACTCAAGATGTTTTATGATATTTATATAAATGTCACAAATCACTGTGTAGATGACTCTTAATTAAACAAATTTGTCAAAATTAAACACGTACATGATAAACAATAAGGTTGCCTTTAAAAAACTTTGTAATGACCAACCCTTAAAAATATAAAACTTTTGGGCCCTCCCTGGTAGCACAGCAGGTTAAAGCATAGCACTAAGAAGCTAAAGACACTCCAGCATGAACTCCATCCCTTGCCCGGAGGTGATCCACATGGCACAGCAGACTTCTGACCCGTCCTTTCCCATCAGCAGTGTACTTTGTGGATCTACTTTTTCTGTTCCTCACACTGTCTGGTGAATCCTGTCATCACCTGTGCACCTCTGGCCTGTACCCCAGTTTTGTATACATAAATAAATTTTTAAAAATATATAAAACTTTCTATAATACTTTACCACCACCCCAAGCTCAAGAAGTCCAACTTTGAAAATGTTCACATTAAATATTCCTTAATAAAATATCCCTGCATTTCATGCTTACCCAAGAAACTATCTGATAAAAAATCCTGGCCTCCCAGGTATCTTATGACTGGAACCTGGGGTACCCAAATGGTGGCCATGACTTCATTTTGGGTAGGAACTCAACCCCTCCCCCAAAAAATATATGAACTGTAAATTAAGAAGTATCATTTTAGCTTATTAAAGAGAAAATCCCATAGGGCAGCCCTTAGAAAGAGCA